GCAGAGAGAGAGGGAGACACAGAATCGGAAACAGGCTCCAGGCTCTGAGCCATCAGCCCAGAGCCTGACGCGGGGCTCGAACTAACGGACTGCGAGATCATGACCTGGCTGAAGTCAGACGCTTAACCGACTGCGCCACCCAGGCGCCCCTATTTACTAACTTTTAATAGTCTTTTTTAAAATGTTTACCTTTGAGAGAGAGAGAGAAAAAAAAAGTGTGAGCAGGGGAGGGGTAGAGATGGGGGAGACACAGAATCCGAAGCAGGCTCCAGACTCTGAGCTGTCAGCCCAGAGCCCGACTCGGGGCTCGAACTCACAAACCGCAAGATCATGACCTGAGGTGAACTTGGACGCTTCACTGACTGAGCCACCCAGGCGCCCCATTACTCTTTTACTGCTTAGAAAGACTTAAATCACATGCATTCACTATGAATTTTTCTCCCTAGCTTTTGACTTTGTTTTCTCCATAGTTTGTGATATGCCAAGGAGAGAATTGCTTCTTTTTTTTTTTTTTTAATTTTTTTTTCAACGTTTTTTTATTTATTTTTGGGACAGAGAGAGACAGAGCATGAACGGGGGAGGGGCAGAGAGAGAGGGAGACACAGAATCGGAAACAGGCTCCAGGCTCTGAGCCATCAGCCCAGAGTCTGACGCGGGGCTCGAACTCACGGACCGCGAGATCGTGACCTGGTTGAAGTCGGACGCTTAACCGACTGCGCCACCCAGGCGCCCCATGGAGAGAATTTTTTCTTAGGTGACTATCAGTCTCCACCATCTCCCATGATCACAGGCCCTTCCAAGAGTTCTCTGGGGTTGACAGTGCGTGTAGGGTAACCAATGCCTTTCTTCTGCTATAGATCTACGTGTCTCTATCCTGTTTACCCCTTGTCATCAGTGTATCAGCGGGAGTTTGGTCAGAAAAACAAAAACCACTTTGAGTAGTACAGCTGGGAAGGGATCGCATACAGAGATGAAGGGGCTCGCCTGGCCACTGGAAACACTGGGGGTGTGGGAGGTCAGGAAGGTCACTGCCTGCAGATGAGGCAATATGGAAGTTCAGGACTTGATCTCCGCTGACTGATGCACCAAGAGGGGATTATTATCAAGGGATACTTTAAAGAGCTGCGGGAAGAACATCACAGCTGTCACAGCTGATGCCCACGTGTGTGCCTGCACCTGCCACCGGAAAGTAATGGCTTCTCCATCTTCTCTTTCCCGAGCCTCTCATTCCACAAGGGTCCTACTCATAAGAGTGTCTAGAAAATGTATGTTCCAGGCTTTCAGCCCTTTGCCCTACAGAGGAGGGCTCAGCGGGGCTGAAATCATGCTGAGTATTTACAGTTATTACCTGGAGGGTGTTTTCAGTAAAGATCAGATTGAATCAAATCGAAAACATTGTCCATGCATGGGAGGTTTCTTGAGCACCAGTGGGCAAGAGATAACACAGTGCCTTGTGTTGGGGTATTTGGCATGAAAGACTCTTGTTCAGAAAAGGAGGGTGAGAAATTGACTTTTATAGTCCATCTGAATAGATTTTATTCATTTGAAATTTTATGACATTCTGACACGAGATTTAAAGTCAGACAACTTGTAGAAATAGTGAAGCAGAAGTTTGAAAGGGTGATTTGCCCTCCTCACAGATCAAGGAGTGGCTGATCCGTCTAGACTAAAGCTTATCTCAGTAAATAGACCCAGGACAGTGGAATTCTCTGTTGTAATCCTTGGGTATGGAATCCTTGGGATTGGGTATGGAATTAGTGGAATTAGTGAAGCCAATTCATTTGTATTCTTGGTCCAGAAGAAATTTGTTGCTGGACAATAACCCACAGTTGACAGTTTTAATCTAGTTATTACACAGTTCAACCTCTGAACAGCAGAAAGGATGTCTGAGGAGTCACAAAGGTAAAGTCACATCATTTTCTCTAGCAGAACGAGGCCAATTTAGAACTGGCTTCTCTCTTTCCCCAGGATCCATTTCCTTCCTCCCAGCAGGCTGTTTTTCTTAACTTCTTTTGGGATCTCCTTTAAAGACTTTTGAAATGTTTGAGGTGCTGGTCTTTTCATGGCTTTTTAGCAGTTTGGACATTCCAAAGCCACTGTGTAGCCTTTTCTCTCTGTAATGAATCAGAGCCACATGGACAGTCTTGAGAGGTGTCACTAATTTCACTGCTGAATACCAAAAATCACTAATAATAACATCACACGTGTGTGTCAGCAAGGTCCTTTCCAGTTCTTGGACTTGGTTGTGTTTCCAGGTTTCGAATTAAGAGATATTTGCAAAGGGTTTGGATTTTCAGTTAGATGGCTACATGATTTCTGAGCGTACAGCTTCTCAGCTTATAAAGAAGGCACTTGCGAGTTTGTGTAGCTCACGTCATCTTTATGACTTTGATTACCTGTGAAAGAGGAAAGGGAGAAGGTATTCTCAGCCTCATTTTCTAGAAGAAACCCAAATTCCAAAGACTGAGTGAATTGCGCCCATCACCCAGTTCATGGTGATAACATTCATTGTCTCTGAGGTCTGTAATCTTCCACAGTGCCTAGATGTAAATATAAATGTTTATTTTTTCAAGTTTATGCTGTAATCTGTAAAATGCTCCGTTCATTGCCAGTTGTATGCATTTTGGGTAAGGATTTATGGAACCTTTTTTAATTTTTTTAAAATTTTTAAAAAAATGTTTATTTATTTTTGAGAGAGACAGGCAAAGCATGAGCAGGGGAAGGGCAGAGAGAGGGAGACACAGAACAAGAAGCAGGCTCCACGCTCTGAGCTGTCAGCACAGAGCCTGACGTGGGGCTCGAACTCACGGACCGCAAGATCGTGACCTGAGCTGAAGCCGGACGCTCAACCGACTGAGCCACCCAGGCGCCCCTAGAACCTCTTTTTTTAAAAACAAAACAAAACAAAACAAAACAAAACTCAGAAACAACAAAAGCATAAGATTTTTAAGAAGGAAATTCATGATTTTCAACTAACATGTAAAAGTCAATTTTAGGTTAAGATTGACTATATATAATTTTTAAAAGTCTGTAATCATATGGAAACTCAACTTCATGTTAATTACATGTGTATTTTGGCCTCACTTAAGAGGCATTAAAAGTTCGTTTTGTAATGCCTTTATTATAGAGTCAACGAAGAAAAATGAAACGCATACCAAAGGAAACACATATAAATAAGATTCCCTGGTGCAAATGTCTTTTGAAACCCATTAGCTATTACCCACGAAGCTCCAGTGACAACCATGTGGTTAGAGCCACGTGGGAAATACGCTGAGTGGGAATCAAGAGTGAAAAGAAAGATATCTGCTTTTTATTAAAACCCGAAGAGTGTTATAATTGGGTTGAGTTTCTACCCAGATGGCCCCCCTTCTTATGACATCTGCAAAGTGTATCTAAAACTACGTTGAGGTGTTATTTTCTGCGGCTGCGTGGACACGTGTTAACTTCATCAAAAACCAAGACCTTGGAGTCCTTCACAATCTTTCTTGCTAACTCATGCCAACTCAAGGGAGGAGCTAACTCATGTGCTTCTCCCCTCAGGGAGATTCCTATGAGTTTCCCTATTGGGAAAGATTTGAAATTCCTTGAGGCAGTTGTAAGTATCTGGTCTTCGATCTTTTGCAAATCAATGACAGTTGCATAGATTTGAGGCTATTAGAGTTCATGTCAACTTGACAATACAGTTATCTCTGAAAATATTAAGTGGTAACAATAAAAAATACTTCCTGTAAGTGAAGTTGTGAAATGTCAGGTTCAAATGTGCATTTTCATTTGGTATTTTTCTAAATGAAAAGGCTTGGTGAGAACTCCCCACCCCGTGTCTGAACATTGTTTTTTTTTTTTTTCAAAGAGTTTTAACGGACGTGTTCATGGTTACATATTACATTTGGTTGCCACGGTTTACGGGTTCTTAACAGTTCCATGTCCTCCTTGTCAGACAACAGAAAGATCAGAGTTAATGGAACCAAGGAACCTATAGAATTTAAATCGAACCAGTGGTTTGGGGCAACAGTGAAAGCTCACCGAGGCGAAGTTGTGGTAAGTAGGAGTCGTGGCGATGCTGTGCAATATTATGTTCTCAGTTTTTCAAAACTGCTTTCATGTAAGGACTTCTATTGAGAGGGAGGGAGAGAGAGTGTGCGCGGGGTGGAGGGAGGGGCAGAGAGAGGGAGCCGGAAGCAGGGCTTGATCCCACCAGTGCCCCAGGACATGTCAGATTTTTAAAGACAAACTTATCAGCATTCTAAAAAAATAAATTTAGTAGCCCTTAAAATGAAAGAATTTATTCTAGTGTTTAAAGTTATAGGAGATAAAGCTTGTTTTCCATATCAGTTAGAGATTTTTAAATATTGCAACACTTGGACGCATGAGTGGCTGTCGGTTAAACATCCGACTTCAGCTCAGGTCGCGATCTCTCAGTTCGGGAGTTTGAGCCCCACGTCAGGCTCCTCGGTGACAGTGCAGGGGCTGCTTGATATTCCCTCTCTCTGCCCCTCCACCCCCAAATAAATAAACTTTAAATATTTTAAAATATATAACTGCTAATTACATAGTTCTCTGAGTACATTAATAATTTTTTAAAGTAAAAAAAAACCCTCACTTTCAAGTAGATATCGTTCAGCTTTAAAGCGCTATGGCTTCATGATTCTCTTATTTCAATCATCTACGTGTCTAAGCTATTGAGAAATAAGTGACTATATTAAGCTGATCTGGAAATTTTTTTCTTGGGGGAATTTTTTAAACCATTGGCTTTAATTTCCTTACAACAATAAAGCAATAACTTTGGCTTTTAGGATTTGTTTAAAGCTTCTTGAATTATGTTTTAATAAGAATAAGTATTTAAAGGAAATACCTTGCTTTATTTGGTCTGTGGTTAACCCCCCCATGGAGATTTTGACATAAGCAGGTAATGTATAAGATACAGACAGCCCTCTCCAGTTGCAAATCCAGAATTTACAGGATGGTCTCTATAGAACTATACTTGCATTAATATGGTTTTCATATTCCACAGTTGGTAAAAACTTTTTTAGCCTTTAGTGGCATATGACATGTGAATTGCTTTGGAAAGCTAATTCTATCTAATGACTATGTGGGATTAAAAAAAATCTTCTGGGTACTGTATTGACATTTTTAAGTCTTGAAAACTTATCTGTAACACATTATGCATCTCTGAAAATCGTATGCCATGTTCATAATAAAAATAGTTAATTTGGGGGCATGTTTCCATTTTCAAAATTATGTAAAAGGAAATCCGATAACATTAAATATATTTCAAGTTAATTTTTTCCTTTGAGCACTGAAATTTAGGGTATCACATATGCCCTACGTGATAATTATTAGGACTTCAAAATGCTGAAGTATCTTTTTGACTATCCAGATGTCATGTGTGTATGTATTAAGTTTGGGTCAAAGTCCAAATTTATCTTATCAGTGTATTTCACATCAGTGTGAAACTGAGCAGATATAAATAGGATAAGTTTCTAGGCAAGAACTGGGAAGAATTTTCTTGGCATCTAAGTGTGGGGGTGGGGTGGAGGGGTGAGATCCGGCAGGTGAGGCCGGCTTTCAGAATACCTCACTGCATAGGTGAGTGCCCACACTGCCCACACTCCTGCCTTTCACCATTGGAACCTTATGTTAAACATATTAGCACATAGTTTGTTAGTTTATTAAGAGGTCCCTAAGACGAAAGAATGTGGATGAGATCGTTGGTTTTTAGGTTATCAGCCAAGACCTCACAATACCAAAAGAGTCAAGTTGTGGAAATACTTTTCTTACTTGAGAATAGAAATAAAATATTTTCACTAAAAGTAGTTGCGCATTGGGCAGATTACCAAGGACACATTTGGAATCGTGAAAGGACTTTATTTTTTTTTCAATGTCTATTCTTTTTT